GTGTGTCATATCCGGTGGGATATGACACACTCGAAGTAAGACGGATAATATAAGTGGTGGTGGTAAGCATGATATATAAGCGGTGGTGGTAATGGTGATTACCACCACCACTTATATATGATGCTATAATAAATCCAACTGTACAATATAAGTAGGTACTTACTAAACCTTGTTTTATCTTCGTTTCGTGAGTAATCTGTTCCATTGAAATTTATTCAGACAGTTTGTAAACTAACGCTTTTATAGATACTTACTGTATACATCTTCATACGCTGTTTGTATCTTGTCTATAAATAAGTTCGCGAAGATATGATTTGATCTGATCGATTTTCTGGGAAGCATAAGATGAAGCTATAACAACAAATATTTTACTTATATATAAATTCTTCGAAATCAAAAGTTGAATCATTATGCAGAGCAAGAATAAAATCTAGAGAGGGCAGCATGGATAATATCAGTGATATATGTGATGAGTTCGATATTTGTAGTATTTTTTAAAATTAATCTCTAAGTTAGCGTTTAAGAAATAGTTAATAATATCATAGATAATAGATATATAATATCACATAATAATATACAAGAATATTTGGTACATAAATAAATTATATTGTATACCTAAATTTGCATACCTACTAGATCAAAAATGGTGTTGTAAGTATTTCTATTATAAGATCTAATTTGTGCTACAAATTTTACAAGAGTATTTAATGTTTTATTATGGTAAAGTAACAGTTATATTCATAGATACGTCATAGAATATGGAATAATTTTAGACTTATTATATTTTCAATTAATATTAATCTCACTAAATTTTAATGAATTCGAAAAGTTTTCGGCAAACTATTTGCGTTCAAAATCAATTTGGTTTCGGATTGTAATGAATATTGACAATGGTTTCTCAAATAAATGAGTGAGCAATTTATTAATTGATATATTTTATTTAATGCTCCCTCTAAAACTTTTTATTGCTCTCTGAACACCACATGAACCAAACCAACATCGACCGGGATTGATGAGCTTATTAGCAATGTAATAATACACAGATCTAAAGATGATATTTAGAGAATTGGGAATATTTATAGCAGCAAAACGATTTTATGTATAATTTTTACATTTATGTTGCATTTTTTATATATATTTGAATTTTATATTTTGACGTTCTGTTTTTATATACCGTTTGTTTCTTATGCCATATTGTAACGATATTTTACCTCACCTAGGAACGTGTTATTTTTAACTATACATATTCCTTCCTTCCGTAAATAAAATTGGAGATTCACGATAACATAACGATGGGTTATCTATACATATAAATAAAATTGGAGCGTCTATTTGTAATATTGAAATAACCGTTTTTTACTACATGCATATGAATATAGATACAGTACAGACATCAACATAACATTTTGACACTTTTTGTCTGTCTGTCGGTCTATTCCGGCTAATCTCTGAAATAGCTGGACCAGAGACAGCGACAGCGACTTTGTTTTATACTATGTAATGATACTGAACAGTCAGATAAATGTGTTACTATTTCCATAGTATACTTACGACCTTCGTATATCCTGTAGACCTAATTTTTCTTCTCGAAATGCGTTTCTATTTCAGAGGACTCTATCCTGCTGCATACCCTAAAATTTCACTGGCATTTAACTGAAACAAATTACAAAGCGAGCTGGTTGGCGCAGACGAGTTTATACAAAGTCTTGGTAACTACAATGTACATTAGCGGGTGCATTGCCAAAACTGTTTGCCAACTGGAAATAGATGAACTTGCCATCTCAAAATCTCAAGGGCTAATTGGATGAATTTATGTAGTCGTCTGCGGTATATTTAGAGTCATTATACCTAATGACTGGATTCAGCTGGGATTCTGGGTGTATTATTTTCAACGTCGTTATAATACGCTACAAATTAAAGTGTTAGCTGATGGTGACAGTGATGGTCAAAGATTATTAGCGTCTCGTACAGATCCGGTTTAGCAAAGATTGCAAAGAACAGACAGGAATAATGCTCTGTTTGTGTTACGATCGCTTGTTAGATTATCTCCTTAAGAATATAATGGTATGTTTGTGTTACGTTCGCTTATTAGATTATCTCCTTAAGAATATAACGGTATGTTTGTGTTATGTTTGCTTATTAGATTATTTTCTTTTAATTTATCCTTTACCTTTTAACATGTTAAAGACCGCATGCCCACCGATGGGTCCCTTACCGAGTGATCACCCGTGGGCACTTTAATTGCAATAAATTATAATGGATCGGTGGACTGTATGAGTATCTGAATTTTACTTTATTTTTCTAAAATAAAAGCAGCCTAAGTTACTCATTATTACATCAGCTACCTGCCAATAAAAGTCCCGTCAAAATCGGTCCAGCCATTTCAGAGATTAGCCAGACAGGAACAAACAGACAGACCGACAGACAGACAAAAATTGTAAAAAATGTTATTTTGGTGTTAGTACCGTATTTATATTCATATGCATGTAGTAAAAAACGGTTACTTCAATATTACAAAGAGACACTCCAATTTTATTTATATATATAGATGACACTTTGTACCAATGAAAAACTCAATTCTAATAACGAAAAACTGTTCAACCAGTAGGTAAGGAAATCAACTTTGTGAAAAGGACTCATAAAAATTTACGCAAGTGGTGAAACATACACGCTAAAAGTACATTCGAATTGAGTGAGTACCTATCTGCTATGAAGACGAATGAAAAACAAAAAACGTTGGCGTGACTGGTTACAGTAACTATGTTGTTTTATTCGATAATAAAAATATCTATAAATATACATTGTATATGAAGTAATATGAGTGTACGCGCAAGTAATATCGGTTCATAAACGGTGCACCGTTTATTTTGTATCTGTGCCAGTTTGGATACACTGCATCCGTTTGTTTTGATAAAAATCAATAATAAATGTATAAAGATATTTTATCTTTATACATGTGGATTTATTACAGACTCTTATGATATCATTAAAATCAAATCTACCGTCAGTTCGGAGTGGTTTCGAATTAAGAACTCAAATCAAATATATATATACAAAACATTTATTCATGTACGACATTATAGCTGTTGTGACGTCATTTTTTTTTGTATTAATACGAGCTGAGTTTCTTCTCAGTTCTCATCTCGAAATCATTCCGAACTGACGGTAGATTTGACATATCATAAGAGTCTGTAAATTTAAGTACTAATATCGCTCTTAAAAATAGGATCTGGATATATAAGGGTGAATGTTTAGGATAGTATGTATTTTTAATGCACATAATAAAAAAAATTGACAAATAATTAAAAAAAAATATTTTGGTATGAGCCACCCTTAACTCTTGGCGTCTAAAATTACTTTCTCAGACCTACTGAATATACATATAAAATTTCGTTAAAATCGGCCAAGCCGTTTCGGAGGAGTGTTACGATATATTAGATTTACTATTATTTTACTGCAGCCAAAGTGCTTTTGTTTTTGTACGAGTAGGCACCTTGTAGTGTGACAATTAAACAGTGAGTGCATCTCATTTTAATCATGTGGAACAGAATAAAACTATAATAGACAAACAGTACGCGTACGTTACTATAGGTGGTCGAAATTGAACTTTATTCCCATCTCTATGGCATCACTCTTTCCTTCGACAGGGCATCAATCAGCCGCTGCTGAGTGCCAGTGTTTGGTGCCAAATACCAACAGTACCAGTAGTATTTGGCATAGTTCACTTGGCAAGGGGCAAATTACATGTATTAGTCTTTTTGTGGCCGATAGTTGGACAGTGTACCTTATTTATCTACTAATTGGAGTTATATACTGTATGTCATATACTGTATATGACGCTAGTATATAATAAGTAATAAGAAGACACTATGTTAACACTCATAGTACTTATTAACAACGCATACAGCTATGACGCGCTCGTGATCCTACTGCGGCTGCGCGCCGTGCAATATTCTGCATCTGTGGCGCATTACGTTTGCGCGCGAAAAACTAACTAATAACAAAATGGCTTCTTCTGCAGACGTCTAGATTAACTGTTGTACTCCTGATTTCTAATAATTTTATACTGTTCTACATAACTTTAAATGTCTGCAATTTACTTTTATTTTAATATACTACTTTTAGACAAAACAGAAAATTTATATGCAGGTTATATAAATTCATATGTATCATACGGTCATTGAGCTCCCTAAAATATGGTCGAACGCAGTGATGGCTGGCTCATCCGTCATACTCGTGAACGAGTGCTGCTTGTAGGGACTGGTCTGCTCTTATCACTACGACTGATTTAATCTTATTGTATATTTATATTTGACCCTAATAAATTAGTGCTGGTTGGTAGTTTGTATTCACACGTTTCGACTTGTAAGTGTGAACTTACAAGGATTATTTAAAACAGCAACACACAAGTTTCTTGCTCGTTCTTCTTGTGATGACATAGCTTTCCGAATGAGCGGTAAATAAAAAAAATTGTTTTGACTATTCAAAAGAGCTTAAATTAACTTTATTTGAATAAATTATTTTCTATTCTACGATAACATACAACAATACTAGTTATTTTAATATATACGTAACATACATAGAGAATATCGAGACCAATACAAACAAACATACTCATGAATACAAATGTTTGTACCGTGCGAGGAGTCGAATCCGCGACCATCGGAAGTAAAGCGGTATGCTAATCTGGAAATCCAGTTCCGCAAAATAACACCTAATTCGATAAACGGCCCCGCTGGTTGAGCCCTTTAGCACACCGCTTCACTCCCGATGGTCGGGGGTTCGGTTCTTCGCACGGTTCAAACTTTTATATTCATGAATATGATTGTTTGTATCGTTCTGGTATATTACGTATCTTATATTTATAAAAAATATATATCTATGTATTTATATCAGTAGACTAGAACCCATAAAACTAGCTCTGCTTAGGTTGGGACTAGATGGCGTTGTGTTAATTGTCCTTAAATATTATTATTAATACTTATTGTTACTGAACAAACCTTTTTCTTGTGTGATTTCTTGTTCATAGCGCGTGTGCAGCCGCCTGTAACAAACAAATAAATAAATAACCCTGGACAATTAACACAGCGCCATCTAGATCCACGGTAAGCGAAGCCTCTGTTATGGGTACTAGACAACTGATATAAATAGTCATATATATTTTTTTAAAATATATACATATTATACATAGAAAACACCCAGACCGATACAAACAATCATACTCATGAAAACAAATGTCTGCACCGTGCGAGGAATCGAACCCGCGACCATCGTAAAGCGGTATACTAAACCGCTAGACCACCGAGGCCGTCAAGACAAAACACAAGATGGGTTGTGCGTCGGCATCCACGTCAACAGCGGCGATGGTACATCTCAGTATAATAAGTACCAGCTGTCCGACTCTAATCTCACATGTTCCGACCATTTGTATGGTATAACGTGACTACTTCAATTGTATGGTGAGAAACGGGAATCAATGCTTGCCAGATGTTGCGGGTAAATGATACGATGTTCTGTCGTCGAGACGATGTATATTACAGATGATAATAGACTGACAATATGTACATAGAAATAATGATCTTATATACTAAATAAAAATAGGAAAATGTAAGGTGGGGCGACACAGTTTAGACACAGCAGTGTTTAGTAAACAATATTGAATTTATCTTATTAGACATTAAATGCAATTATTATTTTGATGTATCTAGGTAACTGTGTCCCATACCAGATTATGTAGCATTGTTGCAATTAAAAATTAATGATTCAAAATCGAACGGTTGGTTATTTTTTTGTTCCATTTTATTATATTTAAGAAATAGTTCTTTTTTTTTATGTAGTTGACGAAAAATATAACATGTGTTTCTTTGTATTCTTTTTTTATTGTTTTCGTTTTTCACGACATAGTAAGCTTATTAAGTTCGCGAACATAGTTATATATATATAATAGTATAATATTAGTGCTAAATACACTATAGGCTTTAAAAATAATATACTATAGGGTGGTCTTTATACCATTGCGACACTACGAAAATAAACAAAAATATTTATTTTCTTAAAATTGCAGATCGTCGACGTTTCGAGAGTTTTTATCGAACGAACATTGTTCCTAACCGAAAGCTTAGAGCTCTGAAATTAATTTGACGTGTTATACCTGTTTATTTTTAAAAGTTCTGCCTTTTGTTACAGATTAAGCTCCCGAATTCTAAGCTTGTATAGTTCACGAATAAACTAGGTAAAACGAGCACTCCCAAAGATGAACTACGCGAAATAGTTTGCTGAATTTCGCTCTTTATTTCGTTTGATAAAACGCAAAAATTCTTTTTAAAAAACAAGGACACATATTTGTGGGGAAATTACTTATAGATTTAATGGTTAACCAGTCTACTGCTTTTCTAAGCTCATGTACTTGCGTAGTTCACGAATAAACTAGCACAAAAGAGTACCCAAAGACGAACTATTTAGCAGAAATTTCGCTCCTTAGTTCGTTTGATAAAATGCAAAAATTCTTGCTAAATAACAAAAACAAATATTTGCGGGGAAATGTACTAGTTTTAGAGGTTGACCAGTCTACTGAATGTCTGACTTCGTAGCGAACGAACTGGTTTGAATGAGAGCTACGAACTAAATCGAGTCCAGTTATGAACTATTATTCATCTGACTCGGAGAGAATGAAGTAGTTAGAATCAGAGCTGCGAACTAAATTAAGTCCAGTCCCGAACTATTATTCATCTGACTCGGAGAGAATGAAGTAGTTAGAATCAGAGCTGCGAACTAAATTAAGTCCAGTCCCGAACTATTATTCATCTGACTCGGAGAGAATGAAGTAGTTAGAATCAGAGCTATGAACTAAATCAAGTCCAGTCCCGAACTATTATTCATCTGACTCGGAGAGAATCAGAGCTGCGAACTAAATCAAGTCTGAACTATTATTCATCTGACTCGGAGAGAATGAAGTAGTTAGAATCAGAGCTGCGAACTAAATCAAGTCCAGTCCCGAACTATTATTCATCTGACTCGGAGAGAATGAAGTAGTTAGAATCAGAGCTACGAACTAAATCAAGTCCAGTCCCGAACTATTATTCATCTGACTCGGAGAGAATGAAGTAGTTAGAATCAGAGCTGCGAACTAAATTAAGTCCAGTCCCGAACTATTATTCATCTGACTCGGAGAGAATGAAGTAGTTAGAATCAGAGCTGCGAACTAAATCAGTCCCGAACTATTATTCATCTGACTCGGAGAGAATGAAGTAGTTAGAATCAGAGCTGCGAACTAAATCAAGTCCAGTCCCGAACTATAGTGCGCAAGCCTACCGGATTCCTATTCCTCGCGGCATTTAATTGTATGTGACTGGTGCTTGACGAATAAAAATGGGAGCACCACTCGTAAATCACTATTACGTGTTGTTGTTTCAGCTGAAGATGTCGACACCGTATTAATATGGGACCAGCTGTATTACATTAACTGGATATCTTTATATATAAAAATTACGTGTCACGTTGTTTGTCCCCAGTGAACTTCTAAACTAGTAAGCCGATTGTAAATTTGATTTGCATATTGTATGCAATTTGATCCAACTTGAAAGATAGGATAGGTTACATCGCAATTTATAGTCGCAATATTATTTTATTCAAGAACCTTAGCCACAGCACGCGTGGTTCTGCTAGTATAGATATGTTTTCAGATCGCGGCCCCATATTCTTTGACACGGGGAAGAGAATTGTTAGTAATGTTGACTAATGGCCCCATTGTACCATGTGAGGTTAGCCTCCATGTGGTTCCCCTGGAAATCATCGTGGTAAATTGCCATTTGCCAAGATGGCCTAACTGACCTGACTTTATGCTCATTCATCATCCTACACTGGTGTCCCGTCAGTGTAAACTGCTAACGCAGTCGGATGCATCATTCCATTATCACCGTGTATGAAAAGATCTTTGACATACCGGACTGTTTGAAATTTCAATTGCATAAAAAGCATTTTCTTTAATACAGAAACAAATTCACGTAGACCAATTAGCGGCAAAGCAACTCTCTCAAACTTTGATAGCAAACTGTCGTATAATATGTTTGTCGCGTGCCTATTATGTTTCTCGGAAATTCATTGTATCTGGCACAGAACATCAGAAGCTGGCTTTACGAGCGCGCTGTACATTCACAAGAAAGATGTTATGAGTACATTACGACACTTACGTCCTTCCACTAGTTTATACCAGATTTCATTTGGATCATAGATAAAATTTGGACCGTCAAAGTTTTGGACAGTCGTGTCCAAAACCACTAGATCTATTTTTATTAGTACGATAGTAACAATCAAGCATACGGCCCTTCTGATGATAAACTGTTACCGTAGCCTATGAACGCCTGAAATATCAGAGGTATTACGTGTGAAGGCGAAGAAGAACTCCCAAGAATTTTGGTGAGTAAGAATCTCTCATATCCCATTAACACCCTTGGGCGGGTGGTGGAATTTATGAAGATTTTTCCTCATTAAAAAAGGAGTGTTACGTATTGGTGATTGGTGATACTTAAAAAACCTTAATACACCCTTCTTAAAAACTCCACGTAGTCTCTATAGAAAACCTCGGTAATTCATTCCGCAATCTAAACGTACGCGGGAAGCTCCTCTGAAACTGCACTTTTTATAGATTCTAACTCAAAAACTATTTATTAGATACTGCAGTTGAAAAGAACTGGAGAGATTTTTTCTGTGTTATTATTTCTTTAATCAATCTCAATCTTTAGGCAATGGAAAATATCGTCGTTAATTCCTGGTGCATTTATTACATTTGGCTAACTTTTTCTTCTTGCTTCCATCTTTCACTACACAATTCCAAATTTAAATAACTTATAAAATCATCACCTATAAACATAACTACCAATACGGGCTTTACAGTATGACACCGGGTTAACAGCACTAAACTAACCATCGACTGTTCCTCCCGAGTACTTAGGTGCTATACCTCTTCTGTCCTGTAAATAAAATATAAAAATTTCCATCTAACTATAACCCTATTAGCCATCCACATTCCGCGGCTAGCGTCCATTAAACATATTCTAAAGTGTTTCACAATATTTATGGCGTTAAAGGCATTTTAACGTCAATTAAGAAATCTCTGACAGCGTTCGTATAAATTTATTTTCATACTTTTAAGAAATTAGAACAATACTTGTGGGTATAACGCATAGCTTTGATGTAAGATTGTTTTAAGATAGACTAGCTGTCGCGTGGAATTTCTTTTATAATAAAATAAATAAAATAGGTTAAAAAATGTAGCCCAAGTTACTCTTTACAACGTTACCTATTTGTGAAGGACAGTACCGTCGAAAATTGGTCAGATCGATTTAGTAAGAAGAAAAATACAGACAGACAAATAATTATTACATTATACTTTTGATGTAAGTACCGTACTTTCATATGCATTTAGTGAAAAGCTGTTAATTTGAAATTACAAGCAGAGGCTTCAATTTAATTTATTTGGATATTATATATCTAAATATATATAACTCAAAGGTGACTGATTGACATAGTGATCTATCAACGCACAGCTCAAACCACTGGACGGATCGGGCTGAAATTTGTCATGCAGGCAGATGTTATGATATGACGTAGGCATACGCTAAGAAAGGATTTTGATTAATTCTACCCCCAATGGGATAAAATAGGAGATGAAAGTTTGACAATTTTAAACCGATCGAGCTGAGACTGCATGCATAAAGCTATGACGTAGGCATCCCCTAAGAAAGGATTTTGATAAATTCCACCCCTAAGGGGATAAAATAATGCGAGCAAAGCCGCGGGCAAAAGCTAGTAGATATATAAAACAATGTTTGAAGGGTCAACTAATAATATATAGATATAGTATATAGATATAACTTATAGATAAGCGTTTTACGTTGCACGTAGCGCATCGTAGTATCCTCAGGCATGACCAGAGACAACAGTAATGAGGTACGATTTCATTACTGTTGGTTATGCCTGAGGTGGTTCCAGAAAGTAGTGCTGACGGTATGTACATATATTGTCATTAGTGATTTTAAAATAACACAAAAATAAAGTAAATGAAGAAAGTCAGGGAAAACAGTTCATTTTGTCACAAATAATCCTGATCCTAAATGGACAGCCACGGTGGTCTAATCGTTAAGCACCCCGCTTTACTTCCGATGATCGCGGGTTCACTTCCTAGCACGGTAAACATTTGTATTTATGAGTATGATTGTTATATGTATTTACAAAAAAATGTATCTGTAATTTAGTATCCATAACACAAGCTCTGTTTGGAAATAGATGGCGCTCAATTAACCCAGTCCACAAATTCATCAGGTATTAAATACAATAATTTACGTAGAGGTCAACCTGGCATGGTACTTTGCTAACAATGGGGTCACTAGTTCCAATTACCACAGATAACATACTATTACTAACAATCCCAATCCCCTAATATGTACTATACATATACATATACAAATGTATATGTATGTAATGAACATATAGTACATTATAATTTCGGATTTACCTAAATTACCGAATAGTTATTGAAAATATTGTCTAGATGAGAAATTAATGACCATGAATAAAATATAATAGCGATACTAAATATATTAACGTTTCATATGTGAGCATTATAGATATATTAGGCTTAACATGACACAGGTAGCATATAAAATATAATACATATTATAAACAGTTGCGATCTATCTTTCAGTTGCGGCGAAAATTATGGGTGAAATATGCGTTTAACGTCTAATAGACACCGTACATCTTAATATTTTTTTAATGTATTTTTAATTTGGTCATATAATTTACTAGCTACTCAGCCTGGCTTTGCCCGGGTGTACATATATTAGATATGTAGGCTACCAACCTCCTTGCATTAACTAGCCATATAACACAAACACATTTAATAAAAAGTATATGTATTGTCAAAATGTCAAATTGATTAGCTTGCAAATTACTGATCTAATGAAATGAAATGAAATGAAATGTATTTATTTGCATGAAATATGCTATAAATATTAAAAGAATGTCAGTATTAATAAAATTGTTCACATATTTCGCCATTGTTTTGACATGCAAAAATTTTAGTAATATACAAATTATACAATAAAATTAATGAATTTACGTTGAACTAAATGAGTTGTTAAATTAATTATTATTTGTTATTTTTAATTCTGATATTATATACACCGTCATATATTCAATCTTTTATTAATATCACTCTTTCTGTATATCAACACGCCAACCTAACCACAGATATATAAATCTTCCTCTTCAATTACTCTATCTATAAAAAAAAACCGCTTCAAAATCCGTTTCGTAGTTTTAAAGATATAAGCATATATAGGGACGAGCAGACAGCGACAGCGACTTTGTTTTATACTATGTAATGATATTGTAATAGGACGAAGTATATTTTCACTTTATTATAGAAAAAATAATGTAATAAAATTTCGATTTTGGAATATTTGAAAAGCAGTGATATGTCAATGTATTTAAGCTTTTTTTTATTGAAGTATAAAACAAATAATTATATATATTGTTCTAAATAAATATACATTAGCAAGTAGGAGGCATGCGATAATTAACATAGAAACCGCTCATTCATTCTTTGTGCAATCAGACAGTATTATCATTCATTAAATGTCAATAAATAAAATAATTGAAATATTAATCAAAAGAATAAAAGCTTTTCCTATCAGCCATCTTTGTAACTGTTTTTTAACATATTTATCGGTTCACAAGAAATTCATATAAAGTATCTAAGAATTTTTTTTCACGTCCTCGACTTACGTCGAGAAACTTACTTTTGATAATAAAGTACGTATATCCTTTGTTATAAATGCATTTTTTTTTTATTTTGAGCGCGTGTAGATCCTAACCCTTGTGTTTTACATGAAAAAATATATCTCGACTTACGTCCTTTCGATTTACATCGTGTATTTTGAGAACCAGACATGCCGTAAGAAGGGGAAGGGGGGAAGGGGATTTTTCCATATTCCGAACCTCCTTAGTCTAAGCAGGTTGTATCACACTGGAGCAAAGGACGCTCGGCCACTGGCCACATATAAAAACATATGGCCACTTAAATTTCAAAAAAAGAATAATAAAACAATTGAAAATAAGAACTGGAACAAAAAGGACACTCCGTATTTTTATCTATATAAAACAAGATTATTAAGCAATTATTTAACACAATATAATTGTTTTTGATGAAAATATACACTGTAGAGTGCGTGGCCACTAAACAGTACTACACATCGGGACGTTCCTGAGCAAAGGTGAGTAAGTTTGGTGTTACATTGCTTACTTTGGGGTGTTCGGAGTGTGGAAGACGTTCTTCCAGGTCGAAATCGTAGGTTTACTTCCTTTTCCATTACGGTTTACGCTGGCGGGGCACCAGTGGAGGATGATAAGATGAGCATGACGTCAGTCAGCCCATCGTGACAAATCAGCAGGAAGTTGTCATAATGGTTTCCAGGGGGAACCGCGTGGAGGTCAACCTGACATAATAATAGTATTATTGTAAATATGTACAACATTAAAACATTAAAAAAAAAATACGAGCTGAGTTTCTTGTCAGTTCTTCTCATCTCGAAATCATTCCGAACTGACGGTAGATTTGACATATCATAAGAGTCTGTAATAGACCTACATGAATAAAGATATTTTGAATTTTGAACTTGAATTTATCTATCTAATTCGCGAAATTATGTTTCACAGTCTGGTTGTGTGTACAGTGAGTACTTACTCCATGTTACCAGTTGCAAGCCATCAAAAACGTTTTCTTATGCTCCTAAAAATAATAAACGCCAACGAATATTTGCGGAAACGTCTCGGCTGTGTGATATTTATTTATTTGGAAATATTGCACGCGGTTTTAAATAATGTGTCAGGTTTTTTTTTTAATTTTTCAACGAGACAAGGTTGTGCTGTGAAATTACGTGAAAATATAGGAGTATAATGTATAGTATCAATGTATGTTCAGTGAGACATTGAGCTAGAATTTATAATTAATCTTTTTAATATTATAAACACGAAAGTTTGTGAGTATGGATGTTAGTTTATTAGGCAAACCATAGCCAAGTTAGACCTTATGTTCAGTGAGACATTGAGCTAGAATTTATAATTAATCTTTTTAATATTATAAACACGAAAGTTTGTGATATTATCCTAAAAAAAAAAAAGTTATAAGATTGTTGCTAGAAATGATATTTTATATTATATATAAATACATTTCAGGACAGACCATTTTTTTCTATTCAATATCACATATCGTCCCGAATATCAATTTACAAGCTTATTACTGTTATTTATTGCACCATATAAAGAAAATTAGATCTCATCTCTTTTGTCGTATTTATTCTATTTGTCAACAATCATGGCATATATCATAATATTAAACTCGGCTATCATTTCACATTTATGTTTTTGATGGGATATAATTTGCTTTTTTATAAATTTTACGACTAACTTCTATGAGAAACTCCTCTTTAGTAGTTTCATGTAAACCACAGATACATAATATTGCATAATGTAAACACAGTGTATCAATCGAAGACATAAAATGTACAGAAAGGAGTACCGCTGCTGTCGACGGTTAGTTCAAACTGATTTATTACACAGATCCAACCTCGTAACTAATTTCAATAAATGTTCGAAGGTAAAATAGAGATGTAAATACAATAAAAACTGACGAAATCAATTCAATCAATGCTTATATTTGTAGTGGAGCGGAATGTGCGATGTTTTCATAAATTATAGTGACAAGTCCCATCAATCCACAACGGTAAATACACGGTGTGTGGAATCTGTGGATTGCGAACAAATTATGTAAACAAGAGTGTATTTTCTTTATATATGATACTAGCTGTCCCGGCAAACGTTGTTTTGACTTAAAATAAAAAAAAAAATTAGGGGTGGACTACCCCTAACATTTAGTGGGATGAAAAATAGATGTTGGCCGATTCTCAGACCTACTCAATACGCTCACAAAATTTCATGAGAATCGGTCAAGCCGTTTCGGAGGAGTATGGGAACGAAAACTGTGACACGAGAATTTTATATATAAGATATAAAGTATTCATTACATATCAGGACTAGAGTTGACAGATTTTTTTTCAGCCTATAAGCGGCAAACACTTAAATAGGCAAAAAAATAAGGGAATTTAGTTTTTTACCCGGGACATTATCAAAGGACAAATTGTGTAGCGTAGATCGATCGATTTAATAATAAAAAACGGAGCACGATTCGAATACGGGACAGAGTCAGTCCCGCCGCGCCGAGACATTTTAAACTATGTCTAAAATACGGGACGTCCAGGGAAATACGGGACGTCTGGCAACGCTAATGATAACCAATGATTTATTTGACAACGATCGAATTGTGAGTCAAATTCTTCGCACGGTAGAAACATTTATATTTATGAGTATGATTGTTTGTATTGGTCTGGATGGTCAAAAAATGTATATTCATATCAGTTGTCTAGACTTCATAACACAAGCTTTGCTTAGATTGGGACTTGGTGACGCTGATAAGTTAATAGTGAATTGTCCTAGGTTAATATTATTATTTTTGTGTCTGCGACAAAATCTATCTCAGTGAAAACAACAATTCACGCAGCGCCAGATGCCGCTCTCATGGCTAGATAGTCCCAATCTAAATACAGCTTACGACTATTGTATACTGGACAATTGCATAATATACATAGAAAGCACTCAGACCAATCGTAAAAGTCATACTCACAAATTCAATTCAAAATCACAGAAGACCGAAGAGCTGGCAGCTACCTCGGACAAAGAATTAGTCTAGCTATTCAAAGAGGGAACGCTGCCAGTATCTTCGGAACTTTGCCTAAAGGGACGCCTTTTAATAATATATTTTAGTTATTATATTATATTTTTTAAGCTTTTTAATTGTACAACATAATACAATACATAACATAACACATAACTTAATTGTACAACTAAGAACCTATCATAGTTGTACAATTATGTTATATTATTATATAACATATTATATATTTATAGTTATATTATTATATATATAGTTATATTATATAGTAAATCAAATTCATGTAGGACATTTTAGCCGCTTGCGAACGTCAAATATTTTATATGTATATTTTCCCTACTGTTGGTTACTTCTGTCTCTTGGCTGACTTAGCTGTCTACTTTGAGTTTAAATTCTGTACTAGAATACGTATTTAAAGTACTAGCAGGCTAATAGTAGATTTGGCTGGGCAGGGAAAGAAACACGAGCGGATATTGATGTACGTCGGCAAAAGGGCCTTATAAACCTACGCCCAAGTTACCAGTCCCGGGAACTGATCGGAGTTTCCCTCTCTGCCACACGATGGACCCGGCAACAGCACGGTGTATCCTTGAAATGCTAGAAGATCGTGGTTAGCATCTAAATTGTGAAAGATAAGATGTTAATGACTAGACCACTCAAACCACCACAAATATGTATACTAGAATTTGCAGACACATTAATATGTGATTGTCTGGCGTGTTGCACTTATTTTAGTGCGGAAAAGTGTTATTTTCAGCTTCAACAAATCTGTTTTATAACAACATATCAGTAGTGGTACAATAGTGAAAGTTAACATTGAAATATGATATAAAAAGGATCCTGTAAATACATTTTGATTCTTAATTATTGAATTTATACAAAGAAAGAAAGAAGTGCGTTTATTCGATACACATAAGCAATAATAAAAAAGAAAAAAAAGATTATCAAACACAATTCTTCACACGAATAGGTCACAAGTATATACAGTGACTAGGTGCCACAACGCTCGTATTCCACGGCTATGTTAATTTGAAGTGTTACAATGACAGATTTCATTCTTTAGTTGTCTAATATCCATACGGTTACGGCAACGACGTGTGACTCGCGTGTTCCCCTTAAGCTTAAGGGAAAAATTTACAAGACCATGATCCGGCCTGCTGTCTTGTATGGATCAGAGTGCTGGCCCGTAAAGGCGACGGATGAAAGACGACTGCATGCAACTGAAATGCGAATGTTGAGGTGGATGTGTAGTGTGAGAAGAATGGATAAGATAAAGAATGAATACATTAGAGGAAGTATGAAAGTGACACCGGTGTCAGAGAGATTAAAGAGTAATTGTCTATCATGATATGGACATGTAACGAGGATAATATTTTAAGAAAGGTGTTACATAAGAATGTGGATGTTTATAAGGGCAGAGGAAGCCCGAAAAAGAGATGGATGGACTGCGTGAAAGATGATATGGTAAGAAAGGAAGTAAATAACGCGATGACTGCGAACAGGGATGAATGGAAGAGAAAAACATATTACGCCGACCACAAATAAATGGGATAAGGAAGAAGCAGATGATGAGTTGTCTAATATCCATAGCACAAACTTAGACTTAGATTAGGGCGCTGTGTTAATTGTCATGAATTTATTTATATCCTTGCCTTTATCCAATTTGATATTAAGTACTTATAATATATTTTAAATATATATAGGACTCAACAACTCAACCTGCTACTTCACCACATTTTATTCCGCAATTTATTCTGAGCGTGATTTATGTGTGTTTGTTTAAATCCATTTGTCTTGTTAACTGTATAAATGTCATTTACATCGTTAAATAAGATCTGATACAAACTACACATGTGCTAGTGCTCCGCCCTTCACAGAGAACATAGCACAAAATGAAGTGTTCACGCAAGTAGACGCATAAATCAAATATGCCAGTGGATGCAGCAACCTCTCTTGGCAGATACAACGATAGTGCAGTTCAATATTGTCCGGAGTACAGACTGCAACAGTACAGACTATAATATGCTATCACGGCAGTTATCCCATATGGGGTAATCAGAGACAGTATATATAGAGAATATGTATGGTCTAGCGGTCTAGCACACTGCTTTACGTCCGATGGTCGCGGGTTCGATTCCTCGCACGGCACAAACGATTTATATTCATGAGTACGATTGTTTGTACCGGTCTGGGTGTTTTCTATGCATAATATGTATGTATTTATGAAAAAAAAATCTATGTATATGTATCAGTTATCTAGTACCCATAACATAAGCTTTAGCTAGCGTAACTTGGGTCTAGATGGCGCTGTGTGAATTATCCTGAGATTATTATTATTATTATCGTCTCTCTCTCTCTCAGCTTTTGCTGGTTTTTTTCACACTTACGAGCCGTTATTATTATTAATACACAAAATACATTAAATACATAAAAATCATTACACACACTAGCTGGTATCTTTTATATACTCTTTTGGTTATTGTTAAAGTCTGCGGTCAAATTGACAATAGGTGAATATTGTTTGTGTTTAATATTATTTGTCTATACTCTTTGACAACAGAACCTTATAATATGCTATCACGGCAGTTATCCCATATAGGGTAATCAGAGACATTGTTAACTGTGAACACATTTGGAAATATGTCTATTGTTCTGTGCGTGTTTGAAATTCAAAAATCATTTATGCATGTACGACATTTTAGTCGCTTATTAACGTAAAATTTTTTTTTTGCTCGTCCAGTTCAGTGACACTGGCAAGAAACTCAATTGAATTTCTTTTTATTTAAAAAAAAATGAGAATATTTAGGTACATTGTTTATTTATAATAGAGGTCTATGTCTAAGTCAAAAATATAAATTCAACACAAAGTCTATGGTGTTGAATCACCAATTTTAGGAACTACGGCATCCGTTTTTATTCTTATTACTGTTATAGGTCTTTAGTACGTACTTCGAGGGTTTTTTTGCCAATGGTACTTCTAATACTATTTGCCTTGGACAAATTTCTGAAAGCTGTTTTACGGCCTATTGCGTCAGTGTACAGACCTACTGTATTCTTATTCTATTTATATATACTGTGGGATATAATATTATTTAATAATTTTTTTGTTTTATTTTAATATAAGTTTAAAACACAATTATGGTTTTTAACAAATATTTAGAAGACATTTAAGATAGGGTTGATATTGTAAAAGGTACAGGATAAAGTTTACAAATTTCCCATTCTCTGATTATTTTGTACATCTACGTACAAGCATATACTTATGTTTTTATCAGTAAGGCGAGTCACACAGATTTTTAATATTTTAGTTCCAAATTCTAACTTTTTTTTAAAATATACAGTTTGAAAGAGATCCTAGTTATAAAGATGTACGTAGATATTAGTAAATTTCAGAGGGCATGTACTCTATAAATCTATGGTCATCGTATTAAAACTACAAATGTATGTACCATACACATACTATGTAATATTATGTTATCCGTCACACACATGTGTGCTATATAACTATTCAACGCAGAAAATGTTTGTCTATTACGAATATACATTCGTTTAAATTATTGAAAAATTTACAACGAAGCCTTTGAATTTATTTTTAATTAAATATATTTAAGCAGATTACCTTCAATCTGTTTAAACAAATATCACATTGATTGATAGGTACCATAAATGAAATCTGGATTGTAACTACTTGCAAGACATTGTTACGACTTAATACAATTAATAAAGTTTTTTAAGAGCGTACCTACTCATGCTACAATAGCGTCAATTGTGTATTAAATTCATAGACCAAAGTAGAATAACTTCTACAATTTGAATTTATAAGAGTATGTAAGTGTAATAGTCCTCTTGGAGAATATAAAATGATTACAAACCTTTTAAACGTAACAAGTAAAATACCACTTTCTAATTGATTTGCACTTTAATATTTGAAAACATTTATTACTATTAAATGGCACTATATTATTATTCCTTTTGTCACTTTAAAAACTTTCGTCCTGAAATTAAACAATTGGCGGGAAATTCTCAAGATGGTGGCGCGCGACCGTTTTCTGGCGCACAACGGTTAACTATGGCGCACTGAGACTGCGACTTGACACAATAAAATTAAGCATTTACACTATAACCGGCTGAAATGGCGTAGGTTTATTTCGAAATACGAGTAACCGTACCAGATTACATACGATTTGCTAAATAATTTCTTGGAGTTAATTTGGCAACAGTACCCCTGTGCCAAATCGTTTTATTCATGTATTTCCAGAGCTTATAATTTGCTATTTGTATAATTATGATAACGTACTAAGTACCTGTAAAGCCAATTCATCGTTTTATTCATTGTATTTCCGAAACAAGTTGATGTTTATCTAATGGAAGGTTGCAATCGCCATCTACACATTTAAATTAACTCATTCATTCTTGATCGCCATTTTAATACTTATGTTGCTTAACCGCAGATATACTTTAGACAGAGGAATCCTTACATACAACATCGTATAGGCTTGAATAAAATAGACCTGAGGTTTAGAAAGAAAGAAAGAAAACATATCTTTGACATTGATTGAAATTTATAGAATTTAAAAATAAATCATATACCGAGGTTCTGACGAATCACAAGTTCATGTTTATCTAATGGAAGGTTTCCTATGTGACGCAGGGATATTTTAGGATTTTTTTTCTACACATTTAAATATTTAGAGCTTCAAGTTTTTTATCATTTATTAACACATTTTGGACGTCATATAAAATTAAAAAATATTCAGTCAAACTAGAGTTACAGCGCTCTGAACACCCCCGCAAAAAAAGATATATTCCGGCTGATCGGCTTATCTGAAAAAAAAAAAAAAAAAAATGTTAGGTTAGGTTAGGTTAGGTTAAATTGGATTTTTGATAGACATTTGAAATAAAAGTTGCAAATTAGGCGTTTTTTTTTTTTTTTTTTTTGCTATAAAAAAATCGAAGTTTTGAAAATTTTCGATTGATAATAGTTCATTCCATGCGTTTACATATATTGAGTGTGCCCTGTAAATTTCAAGTAATTAGGTCCAGCCGTTTCTGAACACAGTTTTGAGAAAAACGCGTTTAAAGTTTCAAGTCCGTTAAAAACTATTAAAATTCAACTTACTCTCAATCGGCGATGCCTGGTCCATAGAAGTATTCCTTCCTCTTCCTCGTGAAACTCTTTTAAAGCAGATTGTTCAGGACATCACTTACGCGCCGCTCAGAGCGTAAGATTCGCTTTTCATCCCGTTTCTCAACATACGCTTGGGCTTCACGAACCTTGAAAACCTTCATTAAAGATAATAACTGCTAAGTAAATTTCAACAACTTTGGGACCAGAATGAAGATGTTTATTTATTATTGTTTTGTGTCTAAACAACATTGTCTTTCGATAAATTTATAGAAAACATCTGATACTTGGACATCCGGAATTAGAGGTGGTTTATCGTGAGTTGGTCATTATAGCTTCAGCCTTACGCCATTTACACCAACTGTCTTCGCCTTCTGACAAAATTGATGCTGAGGGTTTTCATCAGAAGAACATATATTTAAACCATATCTTCAAGCGAATCTGGATGGCGTCGAATTGCTAATCCGTAGAATTTTGTAATTTCTTGGATAACTTTATCAGTAAGTTTACCTGCTCCTTTTCCTCCTATTCCTTTATTGGTTTTATCCTTTTTAAGTCTGTAGAAACGTGTCTAAACTTGTATAAACAAATATATTAATAAAAGGGAGGCCAGGTATAAAGCCGACGGTACACAATAGACCCGGTCTCTAACTGCCAACTCACCGCTCCGAACCGCTCTTTCTTTTACCTGCTGTATCTTTAAAACGACTTCGAATTTTCTAAAATCGCTTTACTACCGTATTCTAGACATGTTAAGGGAGCAATTTATGAAAAAAAAAATCGATTTTTTCAACCCATCACATAGGAAGACCCCTTATGAAAATTGCGCGGACCGCGGAGTATGATATTTCGCACTTATAGTTTATATAAAGAACGAGTGCAGAAAGTACATTATTTTTTATCTTATACCTAAAAATACATTAAATCAATCTGGCACACACACGCATATATACTCTATTATTTATTATTAAAGTCTGTGGTCAAATTGTAAATGTGTGTGAAAATAGATTAATATTGTTTGCCTTTAATATTATTAGTCTATGGCCTTTGGCAATAGAACCTTAACAATGTTCAACCTTATGAGTTAAATTAATTATGGTCGAATTTCAACCACTGGTCACCCACTAGTAAAAATAGAATAGTAGATAATCATATAAAAAATGAAGTCATTGTTTTGTAGAACAACATCTCAAATTACTAATGCAAATAGATAAAAATAATACTAAATACGTAATCTATAATACATATTTAAAAAGGATTAGGTACAGTAAAATTTTAAAATGAAGTTGACATGATGTTAATTGCGCACATTAACGTACGACGCGACGGCGCGTTTAAATAACAATTTATTATCATATAATCCAGCTGTTTCGTGAACGCGTCCCCATCGCTAGGCTACAGGAAGAATAAACAATGGAGGATCATTAAAACGGCTATTTTAGAACGGCTTGTGTGCGTGACAACTGGTGTCTGGCCCACAGATAATGAAGCGTGCCGCAAAATTATAATGGATTTCTTTAATTGCATACAATAAATTTAGAAATAGGTAGTAGGTATGTACAAATTCGCCTGCGGGAGAAGCAATGGGAATTTATGGTGATATGATAATGAGAACGGTACACGTTAGTTGGGCACCAGAGATGATAGGTTGAGCATAAGGTCAGGTCAATTAGCCTATTCTATGCACACCAAGGTAAAAAATAAAGTAAATATACCAAGGCGAGGGGAGTGTTAGTGTGGGTACAATTGTAGGGTTGCCATCAGTTCGGATTTCCCCAGATTTGTCCTAGTTTAGACGGAATCCGGAGAGCGTCCGGGGAAAAGTAACTTATTTAGGTTCAATATTAAAGTAAATTAATAATTTGTGTTTTATTTTAAGAACAAAAAAAATCTAACAGCTTATTAAAATAATTTGTATCAAACTATAATAAGATTCTGTTTTAAAAATTAATACATATAATTTTAAGGGTTCAAGGTAAGGTCTGAAAATAAATAAAAAGGTGATTTATGACATTATTAACTATTTTTTATTACACTGAGTATGTTTAAAAAACCTGTTGACATGTCCGGGTTCTGGACTCTAATATCTGGAGTTTTCAAGCGCCATGTCCTGATTTCCAAATTTTAGAGATGGCAACGCTATACTAGTGGCCTATTTGTAGCAGTCTACCTTAGTATGAGGTCGACCTATACGCGATCTGGTAGAAACTATATTGGTTAATACCTGGTAATTTAAATACAATAAAGATATTTGTATTTCTGTTCTGATTTCATCCTAAACTTCAAAATCACTCAGCTATTGCCCAATCAATGAAATGGTCTTTTATCAACCATTTAAAAACACCTTAATATTTTGAATAATAATCATACTAATATCTATATATATAAAAAATAATTGCTGTTCGTTAGTCTCGTTAAACAGTCGAGAACGGCTGAACCGATTTGGCTAATTTTAGTCTTGAAATATTCGTGAAAGTCCTGGGAATTTAAACGGTGATAAAATATACAGGAATTTATAGCATAATTAAATTTAAAAAAACCCATGACATATTATTTAATTCTGAGGCGGAACGAAGTGCGCGGGGGCAACTAGTTTATAATATAAAAAAAATTTACGTTCATAATCGGTTATAATGTCCTACATGAATAAATAATTTTTGAATGTGAATTGGACCTCCACGCGGTTTTTTTAAATGGTGAGCAATACAGCAAATCGCTGAACTAATTTCGATGGTTTTGGTATAATAGCAGATTGGACGGTAGAAGTATATAAGATACTTTAAGGTATTTAAAACTAGAAGGAAAATTGCAAATAAAAGTTTGTATACGATAAACATTGACAATTTGACTGCCGCGGTGATCTAGCGGTTTACCACGCCGATTTACTTTCTAATAATCGCTGCTTCGATTCCTCTTACGATGCATGTCATGCAATTGTCCAGGGTTTATTTTTTAGTGAATGACAATGGAATGATGCACCTGCGCTAACGGTTTATTTTTATAGGATGAGCATAAGGTTAATCAAACCCATCCAACAAATTTATCGGGAATTTATCAGGATGGTTTTCAGGGCGAACTGCGTGGAGGTCAACCTGACATGATAAATTGCTAGCAATGGGGCCATAATTCCATATTATATAGAATCACCTTTTTTTTTATAACACAGACAAACGAGCATGCGGCTCACCTGATGGTAAGTGATTACCGCCGCCCATGAGCACCCGCAACACCAGGGGAATTGCAAGTACGTTGTCGGCCTTTTAAAAAGGAATAAGCTCTTTTCTTGAAGGTTTCAATATTGTATCGGTTCGGAAATACCATTGCTGGAAGGTGTTTCCACAATGTGGTTGTGGTAAACCTTCCCCCCTCCTGGGTTTATTATTGGACATCAAATGAAAATTTGGCAAGATTAGCACTATTTCTGTACAATATAACGGGTCGTTGCAGTAGGTAATAAGTTGGGTTTAAAAAAAACTACATTTTATAACATGTATTATATTTTAGTCTTATTATACCTAAAAATTTATAGGAACAATTCGGTCTAGTCTCTCCCGTATATGAAGTACCTACTATAAACAATACATCACTGTATTATATTATAGGTAAATATTTAAAATCTTCAAACTGTACAATATTATATATCACTGTCTTCAGCTTCTTTTAATTTAAATGGCTTCCACCAAATGAGGTCGGTGATTTTGCCAACGTCGTGGTTATCAGTCGAAACCAGTTTAAACTTTTACATTATTGCCAGTACGTGGCATACAAAATAAATTAGTAATGTATTTTTTAACCAACTTCAATATCGAAGTTTATATGTTCGATGGCTAGGGCTTTTTCATGTTTAAAACTATATCAACCAGTTTAATATATTGTAAAAAAGGCAGAATGAAATTCAAGTATTTGGAGGCATAATACGGATACATCATTTAGTATTATTTTGGCCTAGAGGGTCTAGTTTATACCGCCTTTCAGACTGGGGTTCGTTTCTCGCACGATATTTTTCTTTTAGGAGTAAGTATTTCTTATTTAGATTTTTCTCCATGTCCTTGGCTGAAGTGTACACGCTTTACCTAGAGAATTACACTAAATTTGATATTATTAAATATTTTACAATAATTCCTTTCCTGCTCAAAAATTATTAAATATAAAACCGTACTGTTGCGTTAAAAATTGTGAAATAAATTAAGAATTTAATGAAAAGTTGAAAATGTACACTTGAATTATTCAAAAACGACAAATATCTGAAGTATGTAAAGAATTCTCTATTTGAATAGCGCAGTCTCTTACAGGCAACCTTTGGTTCTAACCTTTGTATTGTAAGTTTTACAATACAAAAAGTAATATAATATAATTAAAGTTGAAAAAGGACTTGTATAAACATAATAAATAAAAATAACAAGTTGTACTTATATACTTAGTTAAAGCAGATTTATCACAATTATTTACCCCCCATCCCCCGTTGTCAGCAAAAGTAAGCAAAGCTCTTACCCCCTCCACCCATGCTTACGTAAACATCTCTCAATTAATGTATTGTTTTTTTAGCAAAGACAATGTGAGGGTTGCCATTCGTGTAAAAAAGTAAATTACGACCGATGACGTAATCATCAATAATGTCATCCAAAATAAGCAAAGAAAAGACCCCCCCGCCCCCTATAGTGCTTATAATACTTGATCTCTTTCATTATAATATAATTAACGGCTTATTTAATATTGTCAGTGATAACAGTATTATTGTATACATTTATCTACCTATAAAATAGTTAATTTATCATGAGAATATAATACTATAATATGTACAATATACATATAATTTTTAAGATTATAGTATACTACGGACTCGTCCCGTCTTCGAACGGATACATTACAAATCTTTGAATTTCTTGAGTTGTTCTATATTATAACACATTATACATATAAACCTTCCTCTTGAATCACTATCTATTTCTATAAACTATATTAAAATCCGTTGTGTCATTTAAAAGATACAAGCGGACAGTCGCGGCGACTTTGTTTTATAATATGTAAAGATATATATGTCAACTGGAGGAATACAAATATGTGATTAGAAATGTATCATGCTATATCGTTATAAACTTTTTTTATGTATGAAACAATACAAAACTCATGAACAGTAATGGACATTACATACACTGGTGTTACCACTCATGCGTTGTCACTCCTTAACATTAAGATGTTGAGCATCTTATCCTACAATACCACTGCCTTATCTCACCCATATAAATTGATGACATCTCATATTCATGGTACTATTTATTTTTTATTCATAAAATATTTTCTTTATGGTTTAATTGCCTGGAGTCTTCATGGTGTCTCATGGTTTAATAGATACTATACATTTCGAATATATGCATTAATATGTATTAATGTTATTAACACATATGTCATTTGTATAATTCATTAATAATTTAAGAGATCCACTGAAAAGAGTGTAGCGTTAGTCTATGAAATAATAAAACAAATATCAAATTTTGCTGTAAACATTACAATTAAGCATTTCTTCATATAATTTAAACTATTTTAAACAATTCAACTTTACTTAGACATTAAATTGTCATATTTCATTTTATTTATTTAAAAAATATATAACTGTTTGCTACCTGCTGTTTAAAATTCTGTTTACTGTGAGCATTATAAATAAGGCACGGAAAAGATGGGCAACTGTACAATGTTTGTTACAATTAAATTTCGTAAAATAACGCTTAATTAATAGTGGATGGGTAGACCAAACTGTCGCGGAACCCACGTCGTTGTGTCACAAGTCGTAGTTGAAATAATAATGTCTCCTTTCCAGATCACGTATCTCGACTATATCTGCTTTGAGTCGTAGCTTCAAAATTTCCCGCCATAAAGCGTCTCTGTGTTCTCTATTGGTTATACCCATTCGCAATAATGTGTTATCATTTATGCGAATTAAAGCACGGCCGGTTATGTCGTGCTGAAATGTATAAATAAATATATTAAATTACAGAATATATAACTTTATTGACAGTCCCAGTGGTTTAGCAGTTTAGCAACCACTTTTGGCGGGTTCGATGCTTTACATGATGTAATCGTTTGTATTCATGAGTGTGATTGTTTGTATTGGTTTGGGTGCTTTCTACATATATTATTTATGTATTTGCAAGGAAATTAATTAAAATATTTCTGTCAGTTGTCTAGTACCCATAATAAAAGCCCTGATTATTATTAGCTTAGGACTACATGGTATTGCGTAAATTGTCCAGGTTTAATATTATTATATAATCAAATCAAATCAACACATCTTTATTCATGTAGGAGTTACAGACTCTCATGATATATCAAATCTACTATCAGTTGGGAGTGCTTTCAATCAGAGAAGAAATGAAAAATATTCAAATTTGGGAGAATAGAATGATCAGAACAGATCAGTCCCCACAAACAGCACTTGTTCATGAGTATGAAGGATGAGCCAGCTATTAGTGCACTCTATAGAATATATAAATATAAAATATACTCATATTAGAGGAAGAACATAGTGATTCGGCTCACCATGCCACTTTAAGTTTGAACCATACAACGAGCATAAGTTATTTCTGAATAGTCTGCTTGTAGGCGTGACCATTACGATTATCGTCGCTAATGAAAGAATGTCTTCTTGTTTGATAATAAAATATAATCAGTAAACTTCCTATATTCTTGTCTAGTCAATTATCCGTTCTAGTCATGTTTTATAAGTGGCCAGCAAGCAGTCCAGTCAAAGAGGATGCAACAACTTGACTATGTTACTTATTATTGTATTACTGGTGGCCTCTGTGGTCGCTAGACTTCTGCGGTTACTAAACGCCTAAGTTTAGCGCACCACTATACTTTATGCCAGATAATGCTGTGGAATGGTCCGAGGATATTAAATTATATTAATAGGAGTTATGATTCATTTTAATGTTATCCTTATTTGAAAAGAATGAAGGGATCATTTAATTTTGATTCTTTTCAGCTGAAGTATATTCTGAACTAATGGAAGATTTGATGTATCATAATGTCTTCCTAGATAGGAAGACAATACAAGAGATGGTCTTATGACCTTAGAAAGATTGCCGGCCCATCGTGGGCTTCGATTTGCAAAAGATAGGAACATATGGAAAACGCTGCATGAGGCCTTTGTGTCTAAAGGACATGTTGACTCAGAGACTGATGTATATCAATATTGAATATTTATATTTTTATTAAATATATTAAATATTTTTATTAGATTGTATAATTATGTGTCAATTAATCAAGGCTTTGAATTTGAATGTGATAGTAATCGACTTTTATAAATAATGATTAAAATATGACAAAGTCGCTCTAGCTTTTATTATTACAATTAATCACTTTGCCTAATCTATCAACAAATATCCCCTCCGATCAATCCCCCCGTCTAATTCAAACGGGGATCGAAATTACGACGGCCTGACCAGAGGTTCGAACCCCAGTGGAGCCCTCTGACTAAAGTTGTATCCGTCAGGCGGTAGTTGGCTTTCAGGCACCCCATAAGTCTTTCGGCGGGTTTGGAGTGCCATCTACACTCGCTCTCTATCGTCCGGTGAGCTGTAAAGGCTCAGCTATGCCCAACAGCATTACAGTAGTCCGAAAAACTATCAAAAAATATGTAAATACTCAATAACATACCTCATGAAATCTTTCCCAATACAAATGATAATAATCACTGCAATGACGTCGTAACCATTTCTGGACATCCGCTTCTGTCCATAAATAAACTGCTTTAGGGCGAGTGGCTTTTGCCTGGAATTTTTAGACAATATTATAGAAGTATTTAATTCAAAATATTAAAAACGGTGACATTTCTTTGAGCTTAATGTGTATTACATTTACTTAAGTATAGAAGTGAAATGATTGGAATCTCAATAAAGTAATTATTTCTGGATAAAATACGTATTAAATTGATGAAAAATACCTTTGGTTTGTTAGAGTTTTGACTTGAATCTTCCACCATAATGCCTGTGTATTCACTTTATTCAATCTGTGATAAATATCTAGTAATAACAACTATATTGAACACAAAAAGATGAAACGTATATAATTTAATTCAGATACTATGGTTTCGTTTGTATAGTAATTATAATTTTACAAATAATAAACAAGTCTGTTTATGAAACAGCTGATGGTTTCCTGAGATTATTCATGCAGTTTGTCACTGTCATTTTAATTATTCTGTGCTTTATACAACTAGTTAATCTACCCTTCCTTTTTTTATTATTGTCTAAATAGATTTTAGGATTTTTGTTAATAAACATTTTAACTCCACTATACCCTAATTACAACAAATCTTACGAATATGAATAAAAATTAAATGATTATTATTAATTACCGACTGAGATGAATTTATTGCTTTTATCAGTGTACATAAACAAAGCACAATCTCACAAGAAGGGGCATGTAGCATGTATTGCTCTTGAATCACATCAAATTTGTTGATTTAAAAGTTTTAATAAATTGTGCTTCTCAGCTCAATTCATATCAATAGGCGCTGAACAAACCCATTCTTCTGCTACTCGCCAAAGTCATTAAATTAAAAAAAATATCTTACATTCTGACAGCCGAGCTGTCATTAATTTCATGTAAGATGTCAAAGTCAAATGAAGTACAGATTTTGTCATTTGTATAAATTAAAACGATTATTTAGCTACGATTTTGATCAAAAAATTCCTCTCAAAATTGTATAATGTACTTTTAGAAATTTACAAATGGCACAAAATTTACAGAAGAAGCCCTCAAAGGGCATTCTGAAAACCTCACGAAGTGTTGACGGACCGGATGGCACACCTTCAACCAGTAAGCGGGCGAAAGAACAAAGATTCGATGAAATTAATATTATGGAGACATTTCATCCTGCGAATAAGGATTACGGGCACATGAAAGTGGACGAACCAAAGACGCCTTACTCGGAAGCCGTCGATGGCGACTTGGAGCCAGGAGACGAGTTAGACGCGAACATCCTCGCCGCAAAGCTAGCGGCTAGCATGAACAAACCTCCGAAGTGTGTGGAGGCAAGCGACAGTGATGAAGACATGGATGAACCAGAGGAAGTTCGTCAGCGGCGGCTCGAGTTTGAAAAGAAACGAAAAATGCACTACAATGAATTTCAGGTTAAATTTATCATATTTATAAATATCTACTGCTTACTTCATGATTCAAAAACTGTGTTTTGTAGACTACTTGGAATTGAATGTATGTACTTAAGAGGCAGAAATCTAATTATATATATAAATCTATTAATCTTTTAATATATGTAATATTTTCCTCAAATAAACAATAATTCCATATGTGATATAGTGTGAGCCCTTATCATAAGTTCTAATATGACTAAACATATAGAGTTTGTGTTACAATATATTTTACTTCAAAAGACATTTATGTCCCATAATATATATCTAGTAAATATCTTTTAAATTAAAATTATATCAATAAATCTGATTATAGCATTACAGCTGATGGCAGATAGAAAGATAAAGGAAAAAAAATGTGTTCTGTATGCAAAATACCATCCTCTGTGGTTTTTTTAACTCTGTCAATTACAAATCAAGTATTTAAATACTGGTCTGAAAGTAGTTCTGATTCATTCTAATATAAATATTATAAATAAATATATTTATATAATATATGAATATTAGCTGCCCCGCACAACTTCATCTGTATCCGACTTACTTAACATTTATCATTTTAATTTGCCAAATTTACATAATATCTTTTTAATTATAGCCTATGTGCAGTTCTGATATTTAAGCTATATTACTGTAAAGTTTCATCACATCTGTTCAGTCATTTTTGTGTGAAAGAGTAACAAACATCCATACTCGCAAACTTTAGTGTTTATAATAATAATAATAAGATATATAGGAATTCAGACATAAATAATATCATATCCAATAATTCAATTTGTTATTCCAGGCATTGCAGTTAGCGAGACAACTTATGGCTCAAGAAGAAGAGGAAGAAGATGAAAGCAAACCTGAGAAGCCAACTACCTGACTGCCACACATCTTCACACTTGTACATAACACTTACCCTAGCTTCGAGTCGTCATTACCTGCTTTCTAGTAGCCAGGTGGGCTTTAACTTTTAGGCTGCCATCGAATGGTAAAGTTGAAATTTATATTGTATCCTGCAAGGTGCTTCCACACCAGTGAATTTTTGTGTCGTAAGAATTGTATTGGTACATATGTGTAACATGTTGTCAATATCTGTTCCATATATGTCCAGCTGTTTACATGTACGCTCTTTCACTCGCGAATCGACATACGCGGGAAAGAGGGTACATGTAAACAAAGAACGAGAAAGCGCGGGCGTGTCGTGTCACTCGCTCGCGCAATCCCTCGTGTCGTATCACCTGCTCGCGCAATCCCGCGTAATACAATTGAGAGTGCTTTCGCGCGTTTTTGTAACAAATTATCCACTCCAAAATGGCCGACATCTGACCATAGAGCTAAATTCAGATTTGTTGTTAATTTGTCAATTTTAAATGTGTCTATGGAAAATAAAATCAAAATAAAATTAAAATACGAGCAATATTGCGTGAATGCAAAAAATTTACGCGCGCACTTTCCTACGTTTAATCAGGTGCACTCCTGATCACAATGAAAGACTATGTTGTTTTAAGCATTGTGTTCTGCCCTTGTGTGGGTGTGGATCTACCAATAGTGGCTAAATTTTATTTATGGATAACATTATTGTAACAAAACAAGGCACAGTTTATTTTACTTTTGTATTTCAGTATTTAGTTTGCGTATTCTCTAATATTCTGCAGGATTAGTCATAAAGGGTGTACCAAGCCTTTGATCATGGAACTGAACCTACCCTAGAAATGAGTAAATATCACGGGATCTTATCACCATTATTACATAGTATAAAACAAAGTCACTGTCGCTGTCTGTCCGTCCCTATTTATGCTTAAATCTTTAAAACTACGCAACGGCTTTTAAATCAGTTTTTAAATAGATAGAGTGATTTTAGAGAAAGGTTTATATGTATAATACATGTACACCAGTGCCAAACCGGGGTGAGTAGCTCGTGTTTTATAAACTAAGACAGACTAACATAAGATCCCATGATTTTTACTAATTATATGTATAAATAATGACAGAGTCAAATTTAAAGAGTATGTTTCCGTAGAAATATTTTTTTAATTCTACATTTTTCTTTTATTGATTTATTATGAAAGTTGACCATCATATTGAAATTTTTCACTTTATTTCCCTTTGAAATTTGTTTACTATCATATGTATTCTACCTGGTTATCATCCTGGTATATATTTATGACAAAATCTGTATAATAATTTGCTTATCATAATATCAAATCAAAGTCACTATCAAAACATGTTAGCATTTATATATTTGTTAATATTACGTTATATGTAAAATATAACTTATATATATTTGAAGTATTATTACATATGCTTTTATATAAGTTGTCAGAACAGGCATGTATGGTCTAAATATCAAAATCATAAGCACAGAATAAGTACTCTGTGCAGACACAGAGTACTAGGATATTGTGGCTGACTGTCATTTTAAGAGTGCCAATTATGTCATATACATTATTTTAAATTGCATATATGAATGGTTGAAAAGCAATCCTAATTTTACTGAGCAAGTTTTCAAGAAAGGATTTCTTATCTTAAAATTAAATTCACATAATACTAAATTTGAGCTTGCCATCCTTATACTAATTCTCTGATTCAACTCTGCAACTTTAAAGTGCACCACAAACTCGATTATACAATTTTTTAAAGTCTTATTCTTAAATGTCACCAATGAATTAAAATTAAAGCCAACCATTTGAAAAAAAAGCAGGCTGTTTATACATATGAACCTTAATATAACAAACCTATTTTGACTATTGAACTATCTTTCTTTTCTGCTAGTTTTTAGTTAATATTTTTTTAACTTTATGCAGTGTGGGTAAGTTCCTTTAATATATTTTTTAATATTATTTGTATATGTATTTTTGAAACTGACTGTACATATTGATATATTCATACATTTATTTTACAATAGTGAGTAATATCTAGTTATAATGTACAATACAATCACAATTTCCATGACTCATAAGGCCCTTTTTGTTTATTAATTTTAATATTAATCTGCTTCCATCTAGGCCGGATTATACCATCTAAAAGATACAAGACGATAGAGGCTTTGTGCTCTCTTCCCTTATAGAATATTAATCAGTATTTCAAACATAATTAATTTCACAACATACATCAAACAAAAGGCAACTCTCCTACCATTCAATACAGTATAATCTGCTATGTTCTTACTAGCACCTTTGTTATCGCAAAAGTAAATGCCAGTAGGTACATTACCTAATGTTGCTGCAGATTCAGAATTTCATAATAATATAGAGGATTTAACTGTATAGTATTGTACCTTTGCCTTACCACTTGTGAATAAAATATATTACTCTACTGTTACTATTGCTGCTGTCCTTTCTCTTTGAAGATTAGACTGTATGGTCTTGTCCCTTTGCTTATCCACTTGTGGATGAAATATACTACTACTCCTACTGTCCTTTCTCTGAAGTAGATTAGGGATGTACAGTCTAAAGATCTTTGCCTGTTATATCATTGAAAACGGAGATGGACGAATATGAGAAAAAAAAATGATCTCTCTGTGGCGCGTTAATTACACTGTACCGTTAAGATGACACTCCTGGTGTTTGAGTTCGCATTAAGATATCGCACAGCACTCGAAAATTTCCTTTATTTGGAATTTGATTTCAAAGAAAAGTCTGTAGAGTCGATTTAAAAAAAATTAAAATATATGATTTAGTTATTTATTAGGTATGCGCTATAGTAACGGAAATGTACCTAAGGTAATATATGTAGGAAATGAAAACGAGAGAATAGAATTGGTATTGGAGAATATAATCATATATATGAACTATTTTATTACTTGTATGTTTGCTGCAAATAATATACAATTTCACTATTTTGAATGTAGTAATAACATATTTACTTTTTACAAAACAATAATAAAATTAACTAATTTGTGATTGAACTGGAGCAATACGAAATGGTAGTATGCGAGGTAATGAATTATTATATGAGAAAGAAAGAAAGAGAGAGAGAGAGAGCTATAACTATTTCTATCCTATTCTAAAAATTATATTATTTTACTCCCAAATGGGCAGTGGATGCTATGAGTCCCATCTAGGGTTGCCAACTTTTATCAGAAGAAATAGAGTATGTAAAATTGAAAGGAGATAAATAAAGAGTACGGACCTACATAAAAGAATATCATTTATTTATATTTTTACATTAAGATATCGACATAATGACATTAGTGGCTGCATTTTGAAACGTTCGAATGTGGCTTGGGGAATTGTGGATACCAATATATTGACAGTAAATAGTAAATTTTTTTAGGTTTAGCATAATATTACATGATTAGTACTATTATAGTAACATTACGGCCTTGGTGGTCTAGCGGTTTAGCACACCGGCTTACTTCCGATGGTCGCGGGTTCGATTCCTCGCACGCACAAACATTTGTATTCATGAGTATGATTGTTTGTATCGGTCTAGGTGTTTCTATGTATAATATGAATGTATTTACGAAAAAAATATCCTAGTACTCATAACACAAGCTTTAGCTAGCTTAACTTTGGTCTGAATTGTCCCGAGATAATTATGTAAAAGAAGTATTTTAGAGTATGGTTGGCAACCCTAGTTCCATCCAATCCCAAACAAATTTCAAGTTACCCACGTTTTCATATGAATAATCCGGAACTGACTTCCATTATGAATTAATTTATATTTACGAGTACAATTAAGATGTTATAAATATTCGTGTGTTTTGCATTTTAAGGGAATACTATATTAAAATAGTTGAGTTTATAATGCCAATGTGATTTATACATTATATACTAATTTGTAAAATCAAGGCAAATGGAAGATATATATGTACAATAGTGACAATTAATATGACATTGAACGGTTTAGCACCTGCTGAGTTGGCCCGATCTGTTGGATTGGTTTGTATACATGACAAATAGTTAAAACACAAAGTGTGTTGTATACAGAAAAATCGCATGCAACCAATCTTGTCATCCTCCACTGGTGCCAGCGCAAATCGTTAGCGCAGGCGGATACCATTCTATTATCATCCAATAAAAAAAATGAAATTTGGTTGGCTGTTGTATGCAATTTTTGTAGCAATCTATACATATAAATAAAATTGGAGTGTCTGTTTGTAATATTGAAATAACAGTTTTTTACTACATGCATATGAATATAAATACAGTACATTTTTGTCTGTCTGTTTGTTTGTTCCGACTAATTTTTGAAATGGCTGGACGGATTTTGACGGGACTTCTTTTGGCAGGTAGCTGATGTAATAAGGAGTAACTTAGGCTACCTCTATTTTAGAAAAATAAAGTTAAATTCCACACGGACGAAGACGCAAATACAGCTAGTATTATCTAAGGCTACTATCTGGACACACTAATTTGTTGAAACTTAAGTTGTCATCTCAACATTAAAGATATATATGCAGCATTTTTTTAACATGTGGGAAAATCATCACAATTACATAACAAACATTTAGGTTTGAGCGCTAATAACGCGAGTCTTTGATCTTCTTTTCTTATGGGTACTTACGCACTGTTACTGTGTTCTTCTTTTATCTATGCAACACGGAGTCCTCCAGCGTATTCCATTAGTGCACACAGTGTTACTATTGCATTATCTTTCATTAAAAAAGCAGCACTTTGGTCAGTCAGTGTTCGGTATACAATACAAATATATAGATATTTGATTTGATATACAGATAGATTTAATTATAGATATAGATATATATATATCGACGGTTAAATAGAAAAATGGTACTATTCAAAATGTACATTTATTACAAGACAAACATTTAAAGTTTTTAAATTATTATTTTTTCCTTTAAAGTTTTACCAACAATTGACACATAAGTATTATATATCATTTTAAAAGTATTTAGATAATGATTAAGACGGCGTGGTTAATTTAATTGACTTATATAAAAGGAGGCAATTCTAGATACTAATTTTGAAAAATTACATTTTTCTATTTAATCAAAGATATATATTATTCATACTGTTAAATAACATACAATAGAATACAAACGAAACAATATTTATGGATACATTTAACACACTAAATATTGATACGTACTATCAGTGTATATAATATTTGTTTTTATTTACATATATTAAAATATAATTCAACATATGTATGAAAGTATAAAATATATTTTTGGACTTATTGAAAAGAATTGTCGAATAAACTAGCGATGTACTTACTGCAAATATGCTTAAATATTGTAATATACTATCATCATAATTAATATATAATAACCAGATACAAAATCCGAAGAAGTCTGTTAGAAGTAGAAATTATTAAAAAATTTTTTGGTGTCGTGCAGATCCGAAATCGTGGCCTTTGGAGTCTAAATCAGGGCAGTAAACCACTAGGCATAGTTGCTCTCATATTTCTACTTCCTTATAACCTTCGCACTTGAAATTCTAGTCACGTTTTAATGTAAGGTCATCTGAATATAGCACATACGAATACAATGCATCTAATGGCGGTATAAAATCATGAGCATATGAAATTCTTATTAATAAGTTGTTTATGGTCACAAAACTCATTATTATTTTGTTTATTTATTTATTAATGATACTATATAATGTTACATTTTATCTTTAACATATATATATAACATATAAACCCTGCTTCCTAAATAGGATTAAAATCCTGTACTTTAAGATAAGTAGTGCTCATTCCATACAACATTACAGTGATACAGAAAATATAGTATACTAGCTGTTACCGCGGATTCACCTGCGTGAGATTTATAGTCTATGTGTTATTCTAATGTATAAGCTATATCACTGTAAAGTTTAAATAAAATCCGTTCAGTAGTTTCTGCGTGAAAGGATTATACATCCATCCATACTCACAAACTTTCGCATTTATAATATTAATAATAAGATATTGTTGATCAGTATTAATTAATTTTACACTATTATATAGACTTTGTGGTATATACTTATAGTTATTTATTTTTATATTCTAAAATATGTTATATATATGTATTACATTAT